GCCTGTGCTCCGCAATGGGAGAGGCCACAACTGTGAGAGGCCCGCGTACCGAAAAAAAAAAAAAAAAAACTTCCAACAAACAAAAGCCCAGGACCAGATGGCTTCACAGGTGAATTCTATCAAACATTTAGAGAAGAGCTAACACCTATCCTTCTCAAACTCTTCCAAAATATAGCAGAGGGAGGAACACTCCCAAACTCATTCTACAAGGCCACCATCACCGTGACACCAAAATCAGACAAAGATGTCAGAAAAAAAGAAAACTACAGGCCAATATCTCTGATGAACATAGATGCAAAAATCCTCAACAAAACAGTAGCAAACAGAATCCAACAGCACATTAAAAGGACCATACACCATGATCAAGTGAAGTTTATCTCAGGAATGCAAGGATTCTTCAGTATACGCAAATCGATCAATGTGATACACCATATTAACAAACTGAAGGATAAAAACCATATGATAGTCTCAATAGATGCAGAAAAAGCTTTTCACAAAATTCACCACCCATTAATGATAAAAACTCTCCAGAAAGTAGGCAGAGAGGGAACGTACCTCAACATAATAAAGGCCATATACAGCAATACTACAGCCAACATCGTTCCCCATGGTGAAAAGCTGAAACCATTTAAGCTAAGATCAAGAACAAGACAAGGTTGCCCACTCTCACCACTATTATTCAACAGTATTTTGGAAGTTTTTGCCACAGCAATCAGAGAAGAAAAAGAAATAAAAGGAATCCAAATCGGAAAAGAAGAAGAAAAACTGACACTGTTTGCAGATGACATGACACTATACATAGAGAATTCTAAAGATGTTACCAGAAAACTACTAGAGCTAATCAATGAATCTGGTAGAGTAGCAGGATACAAAATTAATGCACAGAAATCTCTTGCATTCCTACACACTAATGAGGAAAAGTCTGGAAGAGAAATTAAGGAAACACTCCCATTTACCACTGCAACAAAAAGAATAAAATACCTAGGAATAAACCTACCTAAGGAGACAAAAGCGTTGTATGCAGAAAACGGTAAGACACTGATGAAAGTAATTAAAGATGATACAAACAGATGGAGAGGTATACCACGTTCTTGGATTGGAAGAATCAACATTGTGAAAATGATTATACTATCCAAAGCAATCTAAAAATTCACTGCAACCCCTATCAAACTACCAATGGCATTTTTCACAGAACTAGAACAAACAATTTCATAATTTGTATGGAAACACAAAAGACCCCGAATAGCCAAAACAATTTTGAAAAAGAAAAACGGAGCTGGAGGAATCAGGCTCCCTGACTTCAGACTATATTACAAAGCTACAGTAATTAAGACAGTATGGTACTGGAACAAAAACAGAAATATACATCAATGGAACAGGATAGAAAGCCCAGAGATAAACCCACGCACATATGGGCACCTTTTCTTTGATAAAGGAGGCAATAATATACAATGGAGAAAAGACACCCTCTTCAATAAGTGGGGCTGGGAAAACTGGACAGCTACATGTAAAAGAATGAAATTAGAACACTTCCTAACACCATACACAAAAATAAACTCAAAATGTATTAAAGACCTAAATGTAAGGCCAGACACTATCAAACTCTTAGAGGAAAACATAGGCAGAACATGCTATGACATAAATCACAGTAAGATCCTTTTTGACCCACCTCCTAGAGAAATGGAAATAAAAACAAAAATAAACAAATGGGACCTAATGAAACTTAAAATCTTCTGCACAGCAAGGAAACCATCAAAAAGATGAAAAGACAACCCTCAGAATGGGAGAAAATATTTGTAAATGAAGCAACTGATTAATTAATTCTCCAAAAGAATTAATCTCCAAAATATACAAGCAGCACATGCAGCTTAATATTAAAAAAACAAACAACCCAATCTAAAAATGGGCAGAAGACCTAAACAGACATTTCTCCAAATGATATATACTGATTGCCAACAAACACATGAAAAGATGCTCAACATCACTAATCATTAGAGAAATGCAACTCAAAACTACAATGAGATATCATCTCACACCGGTCAGAATGGCCATCATCAAAAAATCTAGAAACAATAAATTCTGGAGAGGGTGTGGAGAAAAGGGAACACTCTTGCACTGCTGGTGGGAATGTGAATTGGTACAACCACTATGGAGAACAGTATGGAGGTTCCTTAAAAAACTACAAATAGAACTACCATATGACCCAGCAATCCCACTACTGGGCATAAACCCTGAGAAAACCATAATTCAAAAAGAGTCATGTACCAAAATGTTCATTGCAGCTCTATTTACAATAGCCAGGGGATGGAAACAACCTAAGTGCCCGTCATCGGATGAATGGATAAAGAAGATGTGGCACATATATACAATGGAATATTACTCAGCCATAAAAAGAAACGAAATTGAGTTATTTGTAGTGAGGTGGATGGACCTAGAGTCTGTCATACAGAGTGAAGTAAGCCAGAAAGAGAAAGACAAATACCGTATGCTAACACATATATATGGAATCTAAGAAAAAAAAATGTCGTGAAGAACCTAGGGGTAAGACAGGAATAAAGACACTGACCTACTAGACAATGGACTTGAGGATATGGGGAGGGGGAAGGGTAAGCTGTGACAAAGTGAGAGTGTTATGGACATATATACACTACCAAACATAAAATAGATAGCTAGTGGGAAGCAGCCGCATAGCACAGGGAGATCAGCTCAGTGCTTTGTGACCAATTAGAGGGGTGGGATAGGGAGGGTGGGAGGGAGGGAGACACAAGAGGGAAGAGATATGGGAACATTATATGTATAACTGATTCACTTTGTTATAAAGCAGAAACGAACACACCATTGTAAAGCAACTATACTCCAATAAAGATGTAAAAAAAATGTAACAAATTAAAAAAAAAACTATATTAAATCCAAACACCTTGGACTCTTTCGACTTTCTCAACTTTATCATTGAGGAGACTCAGATTACATGGATACTCTACATACTATCCTGAGCTAAAAATGACATCCTGTGGCCAGTAAGGAAATCATCTTTCATCATGGTGCTTACTCAAACTTTCTGAAGTGCATAAAATCAACGGTCTAGTTAAAAGGCAGATTCCGACTCAGTAGGTCAGGATTGGGCTGAAATCTGTATTTCTGTTCAACCCAAGTGATGCTAAAGCTTCCAACCTGTGGAGCAGCCCTGGAGTAGCAAGCATTCTGATACATTTACACCCTCACTTGCAGAAGAACATATTTGTTCCCTGTTCACCTACTTCCCTCTCCCTTTTACTAGTTACAGCTTCCTCTACCTTCATGATCCCTTCCAACATGCATGCAAACATTTTCTTTAGAACTCCTCCTTCCCAATTTCAACCAACTCTTGTCCAGTTAGTTCAGGAAAATAATATTCTCTCTGCATCTATGTCAAATTAGAATTGACTAAAAAATGAAGACAGTTTCTGCTTTTCAAGCAGCTTGCAAGCTTGAGACAATAGGTACATAATTAACTGTCATGGATCCCTTCTCTCCTTTTCCAGTAAGCAAAGTGCCTGGGCTTTTAAGTTTGATTTTTGGGTTCCAATCCAGCTCTAACACTTACCTTCTCTGAGACTTCAGGCAAGCAACTTAATTTCTCTGAGCCTCAGTTTCCTAACTCTAAAACAGGGTTAACAACAGCACCTAACTCAGAGGATTGTCATAGGTATTAAAAAGAGATGATGCACATAAAGACGTTTGCATCTCTCAGTCTAGCACTTAGTAAGTAATCAACAGACCATTACTATTGGTAGTAACAAAGACGTTATGATGCCATCCCTCTATGGTAGACGGCACTCTTCAGTTATTTCAAATAGTGCATATGGCTCTGTTCGCCTTTAAACAGGGAGTTCCCCCACTTCCTTTACAAGGATGCTTCCCCTCCTGCAGTATATGACACTGCACTTCCTTTACAGGGATGCTTCCCCTCCTGCAGTATATGACAATCACCTTCGCAGCTTCTGCCAAATTCTCCTATAGACTACATTGCCTACTCTTCTTTATATCAACTTACTCTTTTACCTAAATTATTTCTCAAAGGAAATTTCGTATCAGTACCGTAAGCGAAAAATCAGTATCACTTGCCAGTTAGGTGACTCATAAAAACAAATACCATGAAACCAGAGTTTTTAAATTCCAACTAGATATTGCTGCCCACTAAAGGCAAGATTGTTAAGGAGATAAGCAAGACTTTCACCTTGATAGTTACGAGCACGAGAACACCTTGAAATGAAATGAAACACCTTAAATGAAAACACCTTCCCCATGAGTGTGATTAAATCAGTTAATATATGGTAATACGTTTACAATGGGGTCCACGCGTGTACTCATCACTCTCAGCCCTGTTGGAAGAGACAGATAACGAGTTCCCGCCCACGTCTGGTGCTCGGGAAAAGTCTGTTGGGAGGTCCGGGGCGCCTGGAGTAGAGATCTTCACCCTTCCCACTGGGCCTGAGGAAGGCCACGTACCGAACTCGGGAGGTGTCTTCCCCGGGCGCCGGCGGCTCCACGCACGCCCGCCTCAAAGCGGTGATCTCGGCTTCCAAAGCGCGAGCCTCAACCAGCTGGGAATCCATAGGGCCGCGCAGACGGGAAGCTGCCTAACAGAAGCGCGCCACGTCCTGCTCTTCAAGCCTCGCGCGCTGCTGGTGTGAACCATCCCGGAACTCGGCGGGGGAGGCAGGGGAATGACGCGCGATTCCCAAGCTTATAACCGGCGCTCGCAAGCATCCCAGGCTCATTGCCATCCCTGCTTACTTTTCCACAGCTGTCCCCCAGCAGTCCCTACGCTTCAAGAGAGTTGACTCCCTCGAACCCAAAGCCCGAGGGCATACCTACCCACCCCGACCTGGTGACGCCTTGGAGTAACCAGGACGAATAAGTCACAGAAGAGGAGGTTCCGGGAGCACTTAAGGGGGGGAGTCTCTTTATTTTTCTTCCCCTGCCTCACTTCCGCCGACCATATCCAGGAGAGCACAAGGTGATAACCCTCTTCATTATGAATTAGGGAATTTTAGTTTGGGGTCTTTCGCGGACTTTGAGGCAGGGAATGGAGGCGTCGCGGTCGCCCAGAAGCCTGGACACGAAATAAAAAGCACTGGGGAACTGAGCGTGGTAGTGGAACCTTAGGATGCTGGGTTGGAAATCCAGGAGGAAGGAAGAGAGGCGACACTTGTTGGGACACGTGACTAGAAGTTACGGTCCTAAACTGCGCGGGATGTAAAAAACGAAGTGGTGAGGAGTCGGTTTGGGGCATGGGATGTGCCGAGGCCAACTGGCCTACCTTCTCCCTTCTCGTCTTTGAGTCTTCTCAGAGGATAGAAGGCTAGGGTGGGTACGTTGGGGGCGGAGGAAGCTACCAGGAAGATGTAGGCCGTGGCTCACGCCTAGATCAGGAGCGATGCTCAGGGCTTTTGGCGCTGTTTTGGGGTTGCGCGTGGGAGGAGTCTGGGACCTGAGCGCCATCCGGGTGCTAAACGAGATTAGAGATCTCATGAAAAGCCGCAAATCTCAGTACCTCTGGAAGAGTTTTCCTGAGTCCCTTCTAATCCAACAATCCCCCTAGTATAAAGAATTACAGGTTCTGAAATTAGATTTGGGTTATAATCTTGGCTTCACCGCTAATTCTCTGAATGGCATTGGGAAAGTGACTTAACCTCTCCTGCTAATCTGAAAAAAGATGCCTGCAAACTATTTTGTACAACGCTGGCACATAGTGTTTTTTAAAAAGTCTGTATTAGCCACGATATCAGTTGCTCCTTTTATGCCTGAACAGCACTTTGTAGATATTTCTGTTGTGACATAGTATTGCAATTGCAGCATTTGCTTACTTCTCATGTGACTGTGAGGAGCTTGAGGATTGAGAGCTTTTTATTTTTCCGTGTGCTAACCTGTCCCATCCCATTTCTGTCAGCGTTTGTTAAAGTGAATGAATGAAGGAAAAACACCTAACAATATGGATAAGTAGAATCGGGAGGAGTAGAGTGTAATATTGTGGTCATTTAGAGGGAAAGTATGTGCCTGTACCTGTGTCTGTGTGTAGAGGTGCTGTTCCAAAATGCATTCATGAAGAACGTGGATGTAGGCCTTGAACAGAGTCTCCAGAGATAAAATTTCGAGCAATACAATAGGAAATGAAACACAGCTCAAGGCAACCAGTTTGGCATAGAAGGTTCAGGGAAAGGAGTTTTTGTTTCTTTTGTTTTGTTTTGTTTAGATTTGAGAAGATTTAAGGGAAAGAGCTCTTCTCTGTAGATATTTATTTTTTCCACTAGAAATACTTGAGTGTATGCCCAGCCTTGATGAAAGCCAACAGAGAAACGAAGCGCCTTTTTGTGGGTGGCCTTGGCCAGAATATTTCTGAGGCAGACCTACAAAATCAGTTCAGCAGATTTGGAGAAGTTTCTGATGTGGAAATCATCACTCGGAAAGATGACCAAGGTAAATTTATAGTTCTTCATGGGTAGTTAAAGGCAAAGTATCACAAAATAAAGGAACCCAAGAGATGAATGTTAGCCCTGAACACTGAAAGTGATATGTATCTCATTACATGATACTGTTGTAGTAACCCCCCACCCCCCATCCCTCCCCCTCCTATGCTCTGGAGATGTTATGTGTGACCTGGAACTTGCCCGGAATTACGTTTCTGAAATCAAAAATTTCTAAATTCCCAAACATCCGGTTTTTGTTTTTGTGGGTATTTTTTTTGGCCGTACGGCTTGCTGGGATCTTAGTTCTCCAACCAGAGATTGAACCCAGACCCTCAGCAGTGAAAGCGCAGAGTCCTAACCACTGGACTGCCAGGGAATTTCCAAACATCCAATTTCTGAAACATATAGCTTTCAGTTTTCAGAGCTAAAATTCTAATAATTAGTAGGGTCCTGTTAAGTAGAATATCACTAACATACAAACATGCAAAGTGTTTCCTTAACTGAGTACTTGACATTTTTCTCTTACGTATTTTCTTTTGGAATATTTAGATAATCATGCTTTTAAAAAAAATGCAGTCTTTGTATCCAATGATAAATAAACAAGGTTTTCCTTTGAAAGAGTACGTTTCTAAGAGCACTTTTTTAAATTTAGAAACTTAATAATGTTTACATTGTTCTCTGGGTACGAATTTAATTTTTTTTTTTTTTTTTAGGAAACCCACAGAAAGTCTTTGCATATGTCAACATCAGAATAGCAGAAGCAGACCTGAAAAAATGTAATGAATGTTTTCTATACTATTTACCAGTCTATGTCACCATGTAATTTGGAATAACTTTCATTCTAAATCTAAACATCCACCTTTAACTCATCCTGAGGGACAACCACAATCAAGAGAATTTCCATATCCTACAATTCAGGAGGTTTAGGTTCATTCCATAATGAATGACATATGGTAGCACATTGCCAGTGAGTTTGCTCAAAAATGGCATTCTCAAATAATTTGGATAAGGGACCACACTTTAATAGAAACTGCCTGTTACACATATCCCACTGGATATTATGAAATACCCACCTCCCTGGTGTGTTCATTTCTCAGGCAACTAATTCTTATTAAGTGCTGTTAGGAGAGGGTTTTGGAATATGCCCTTATAAGATCATATCCTTGAAATTATGAAGTCTCCATCGATAAGTTTAGTAAAGCTGAGGGCCACCTGTGACCTTCAATGAATAAAGAGGGGGAGATAATTCATACTTCCACTGATGTAGTAATGCATTCTAATTATTTGGAGACTGAAAAGTCAACAGACACTGAGCAGGAAACATGCTAATAGAGAAAGAGGGCCATTGGCCTTTTGTAATTTCATTTGCAAAAAATTGATTCGTTCAGTTAGGAAATAGATATGACAAATATGTTGCAGTTAAGAACACATCAGTTCTGCTGTGTGACCTAGCAGTTTATTTAAACTAGAAGACCCGGTTTGCTTCTCTGATGTATGACCAAGATACTGCTTATCTCATAATATTACTGTGAAGATTAAGTTGAATAATATCTTTGTGCTTAGCATGGTACCTACCTCATAGATATTTCTGTTAGTGGTAATTATTAAGGAAGCTGATAGCAGATGTTGAGAAAAATCAACTACTAGGGCACAGTAGTTTAAACACAGTTTAGTTGCTTGCAGCTAATATGTTTGCAAGTTTCACAGTGATAATTAGTATGAGGTGATAAATAAAAGTGAGGTGCTGCAGGATTCCAGTGTCCTCTGATTCACTCTAAGGAAATTACATTAATGTTTTATAGTTTTAGTGTGGGAAATAACAATGAAATGTTAAATAAATACCAGCCATTCGCCACAGATTCCTGACATTACTTTATAAACAAATGACAAATTTTGCTTTATGGTTTACACATTAGCCTCATTCAAATCTTTCAATTACACGGGGAGGTAGGGAGTGTAAAGATCTAATAAGTGGTCAAGATGAGAATGGGACCTAAGCCTTCTCCTTCCAGGTCTCATTTTCTTTATTCTATTTCCTCTGTGTGATAAGCAGGTTTTCTTTTTTTGGTACTAACTAATTAGTAAAAGCACATGCTGAAATATATTTTTGCATTGCCATGTACTTGGGTACTAATTCTTTGCTTTATAGGTATGTCTGTTTTAAATAAAACAAAATGGAAAGGTGGAACTCTACAAATTCAGCTAGCAAAGGAAAGTTTTTTGCAAAGGTAAGATTTGTTCTACATGATTTGACCCAATTTTTTTATATTGTAAGTGGTTTTATATGTTCACTTAATTGATTTGAAACTATCAAATAATGTATTATTACAGTTTTAGCAAATATATGCATTACAAGTAGAGCTAAAATCCTTCTTAACTGTGACTCCCTGTGACCCCAGACCCCATCAGAGAAGATAATGTAATGCTCCTGTATACGTATATTTTAACCCATAAAAATATATACTTATTTCAGCTTTTTAAACACAACCTTATGTGATGATGTAGGTCTTCCCCCTTCTTGTAATGAGTGTTTAGTACTATTTTGGGAAATGGCTGTGCCACAGTGTAGTTTGTCATCCCCCACTCATAGACATTTAGACCATTTCCACTTCCTCTTGATAAGACTCTTGAGGATGGTCCCTCTGGGGTTTATGTCAACAAAAGGAGTTGCTATGTCATATAGTTATGCACATTTAAAATTTTAATAGTATCAAATTGCTTAAGTTGACTTTAGGCTGTTAATGAAAGTGTCATACAAAAACATAAAGATAATAGGAAATCCCTGTATGAGAGGCATAAGATTAATTATGCATGTGATTTAAGAACAAGGCAATGTAAAAGCTATTAAAGCATTTTAAATCCTAAAAGTATTCTTAGGGAGAAAAGATTGTATGAGATTGGGTGCTTCCAAAATAGGAGATATTTTAGGAATGTACACATGGAGTGACCAAGAGCATTTTAAGATTGTTCTGGGCCAAAGAAATGCCACAAGGAAAAATAAGGTCTAAACCAAGTTTTGAGGGAGTGGTCTGGTGACGAAGATGAGAATCTGATTTTGTTCTTCAGCTGGGGGCCTCTGTGAACAGGGTAGTGATGAGATTTTCATTCAGCAGCACTTTGCTGTCTATTATGTGCAGGAACTGGGGCCCTAGTCCTGAGCAGGTGAGCACACAGTGCTGCTTTCTTGGAGTGTCTATGCAGTTGTGCCTGGGGAGCATGAATCTTGGAAGTTGGAACGTAAGGGAGACAGACCAAAGGCAAAGAGGCCAGCACAGTTGACCAGGCCTGTATAAGGTGGTGGAGTTTGAATTGGAAGGTTGAGTTGGCGTTCTGCATTCTCTTTGTTGTGAGAGTAGAAATATTCAAGACTTAGCATATTAGGCTCTGAAAGACACCTCTTCCTCATAAGAATGAAAAGATTAAGGATAGATAAAATGCCAAAAGTACATAAGTTGAAAGGGAAAAACTGAGAGACCCTAAATGATCTCTATAAAGTTAAACAGCTTTACAGTATTAAAAAACAAAACAGAAGCACTGTTAATAGTGTGGTTATTTTAACTCTTATTTATACTTTCTGTTTGATTCAGATTGGCCCAGGAGAGAAAAGAAGCAAAAGCAAAGAAAGGAAAATCAACAACAAGCAATACCAACTTGTTAGAAAAGATGGGAGTGGTGGATTTCCATGTGAAAGCTGTGCCAGGGACAGAAGTACCGGGGCACAAAGTGAGTCTCCTCTGGTAGCCTGAGTAGCTCAGGAACTAATTCCTGAGACCAGGTGACCATGAGCATCATGTTTTAAAGCAACTGCTTTTTTCTCTTGCTTTGAAGCAGTTAACATAGATAGTGCTTTATGGTCTTCAAATGCATTTACAACTCTTGGGAAAGCACAGTTTTCCCCCATTTTAGAGAGAGAAATCAAAACCCAAGTGGAGGCAGGTCTCCCAGGGGGCATAGGTGGTGAAGAGTGCAGGCAGGTCCCACGTTTGCCTTTTTAATGGCTGTTATTTGTGTAGCATCCTACATGTTTTATATGGGATCAATAACTGCCCCAATTTTCCTTCTTTCTTTTTCCTTTCCTGATACACTTTTTTGAGCACTTGTGTTTCATTATCAGAAAACTAAACCCGACAGTAATCGTGGTCCACTATGAGTTCAAATATTTTTAAGTGACAAGTATAGTAAATGTATTTATGCAGTGTGGTTAATCTTTTCCATTTGTGACAAGTATAGTAAATGTATTCTTTTTTTTTTTTCTTTTAGAATTGGGTTGTGAGTAAATTTGGAAGAGTCTTACCTGTCCTTCACCTAAAGAATCAACATAAACGTAAAATATCCTTGGCAATTGGCCTTTCAGAGAAATTATTGTTTACTACGATATGGATATTTGCAAAAGTTTACTTCATACCTTTAGAATTTCACTGCCTCTGTCAGTAAATCTTTAGATGTTTGTGTAACAGTTTTTATGTTCCCAGTTTCTAAGTAAGGTAAGACCCACCTACCTACATGTATGAAACAATTAGAGGATAATGAGAGGATGTAATTAGGTTTTATGCAAGTGATGCAAATGATGATTGTTAAAGAAGCACGTTGACTTACTAATTTATACCTCATTCTTCTTGTTTGACATGGATTCAAAGCCATTGCCAAAGGAGCTAAAGAAGGACAAGGGAACACAGCACAATCATTAAAGAAGGCTTTAGAGGAAGTAGGATGTTTCACATTAATAGAAAAGAGATAGGAAGGAGTCTAGGAGAGAGGAAAATAGTAGGTAGAAATGTGTAGACAGGCAGAAGAATGGTGGATGGAGAAATAGTATGGAACCCAGTATGAGCAAATTCAGATGCCCGTTCCCCTGAGGAAATGAGGTCAGATTGTCTAAGACCTTGAATTCCTAGTGTCATGGACTTCTGGGCAGAGGGTGTTTTTTGTATTCTTTTAGCTCTAACCCTGTGTGTCATGGGAAGCAGAAGCAATTTCAGGTATTTCAAACAGAGGTGTGTCCTCACTGTTCATGGCTGTTGAGGCCCCTGGAGCCCTGGCCACAGCTGCTGGTTCTGCTGTCCCTGCCAGTGGCACTAAAGTCAGGGAAATACTTCTTCACCTTCCAGCTTCCCACCAATGGTATCACTGACAGCAAAGAGGAGGATTTGGAAGGACAGTGTAAAGCCAAGAGACAATAGACACTGTTTGGCACACATCACATATAATTGTCCATGTATTCAGTAGTCACTAAATGAACAAAGGGACTTTTCAGTAGTGATAGATTAAAGCAACTTATACTTGTCTATTCATATGTTTTAGGAAATCAGCAAATGCCAGCTGTCACTACAGCACAGTGACATTAACTAGAATCTTTCTGGACAATGTCAGCAACAAAGACCTGATAAAGAATTATTAGCCTTCTAAGAAAGACCTACAAAATTCAGAGAGTGAGTAAAATGTGAAATGGATGTCATTGAACTAAGAGAATCAGATCTAGGATGAGGCAGCATTGAGAAAACAGGAATGGCCAAAAAGTTTGAGAATCTTTGAGTCTCAAGTTTGAGATACCAACACTTAGTATCTAGCTGTGCCCCCTCTGGGTTCCTCCACTTTATGGTATTAGCTCAGTGGATAGACTTCTCAGATTTACAGAAAAGTCTTGTGGCCTCTTGTACCTAGAATATAATCTGAATCGGTTTGCTGTGATATACATATGCAGCCCAAGTAATTTCTGCCAATTAATAGTGATGGTTCTTGGTTTTCACTCTGGACATGCCATGGATGTGTCAGTTCCAAAGACCCTGAGTCACCAAATTAAGTCCTTATTTTGTTTGATAGGAAACTGAGGGTAAGATGAGTCAATGACTTGCTCAAGATTAAACAGTATTCTTTTTGCTTTACCAGTTTGATAGGTTTTTCTAAAACCTAGTGCCTTTGTTTTCTTCCTTGACTGCTGTTGACATCATAAAGTATGATCCCTCAAAATACTGCCACAACCTAAAGAAAATAGGGGAGGATTTCACAAATGCTGTCCCTATATCCAGCCTCACTTGGGAATTGGAAGGAGGGAATGATCCTGTGAGTAAGAAACGACGAGGAGAATTCTCTGATTTTCACAGCCCTGCCAAGAAGATAATAAAAGTGCAGAAGAATGAGGGTTCCACTGCATCTCTGGCTTTGAGACCAAAACCTAGTAGCATAATGGAGAGTTCACATTTAATACAACAACAGGCTGCACAAAATACACCTCATAATTCCATTACTCCTAAATCACCCTGTGTACCTGATTCTGATAGTCAGAAACTTAAAAATGTATTTTTTCAGACTTCTGACTTAGAAACTACCAAAAAGAGAAATAGCATGTCTGATGATGATATTGATTCTGAAGATGAATTAAGACTAATGATTGCAAGAGAGGAAAACCTAGAGAAAACTACATGGTCCTCAATAAATGGATCTGAAAATGATCCCTTTGAAGTTGTAAGAGATGATTTTAAATCACATTTTCACAAATTTCATACTTCAACAGGTTTAGGCATCAAAAATAATGTCTTTTGCCTCAGTAGTGAAGATAATGTTATGGGAAATGATTGTGACTCTGATTCAGGAGATACAGATGAAATCATTGCAATGAAAAAAAATTCTGATAAGATCAAAAACAGTGTAGAACTTTCACAAACAGAAAAGTCTATGCACAAGAAAACTTATTTGAAAAATAGAAAAAAGTGTGGTCTTTCTGTTGATTGTATTAAAGTACAAAAAAGAAAAAACAAAGAGACAGCCCTCAGTCACAGAATTAAGCCTCTCAGTTGTGAATCTCTGATTGAGTCCAGTAGCAGTGAAGATGCTGATTCTGTATCAGAATCAACCGAGTCTGAAGGAGATAAGGAGTATAACACCATGATGAAAAACTGTCTCCATATGAATCTAACTTTAGCTGATCTGGAACAGTTGGCTGGCAGTAACCAGGAGGCGCCAAAAGAAGATACTGAGAGCAATGGCCGGAAAACCACTGCCAAGTCTGACAGGGCCTCCAAGAGCCACAGAACTCCAGGTGGCCTCCACAAAGGCCAACAGTGTATTCATCCTGAGGAGATTGTGGCTTCCCTTTTAGAAGGAAAAGAGAACACACATGGAAAACAGGAACCAAAGGAAAATACCTTAAAGCCAAAATTCCAGGCTTTCAAGGGAGTAGCCTGTCTCTATGGAAAGGAATCAGTGAAAAAATCCTTGAAAGAGAGTGTTGCCTCTAACAATATTAATAAAGATCATAAATCCTTGAAACTTGAGGATCCCAGGAGCATGTCCATGAAAAAATGGTCCTTGTATGCTAATGGCCCATCAAGTAAACTGACTCTTTTCCAACATGCAAAGAAGGCAAATGACTCAAACCAAATTCAGCCTCAAAAGAGACCGTCTACTTTTGAGAGCCAGGCTCACAAGGTGGTATTCCCTAGCAGTTCAGAAAAGGGAAATGGAAATCCTATTTCTAGTCTATTGCCACTAAAAGATAAGAAATCTTTGAGTCTTGGTGCCAAGACTCTCAGGAGAGGCTTTGATGAAGACTGTTGCCACAGGACTGGAAAGTCAGGAGAGAGCTCCAAAAAGAGGCCTGATCTGTGCAGCCGCAAGGTCCTTGAGAAATCACCAGAGGTCTCCTCCAGGAGAGACCCTCAGGGAAGCAAAACTGACTTCCCACTTTCTGTTAATAGTTCATCAGATGTTAATGCTAAGGATAAGCATGCTGAAGATAATCAGAAGCGTTTGGCAGCCTTAGAGGCAAGGCAGAAAGCAAAAGAAGTACAAAAGAAGTTGGTTCACAATGCTCTGGCAAATTTGGTGAGTATATTTTCAGTCTAGGGATTTAACAAGAACTCATTTCCAAGTCCAACCTTTCTTTCCTACGAAGGTAAGTAGGCTCCTTTAGAGCTGAATGTTTGTGTTTTGTGTCCTTGTATCTTTAGTATATCCAGATACCGCTTTAGAAGCTGTAACTGATATAGTTAAGTGATATGTCCTAATATGTCTGAATTTACATATAAATCACTTGCCAAGTGATTCATATCTTACCAAGATTTACTGTAATGAGTCTTTATTCATTCTTTCAACAATTGTTAACTACCTATGAAATTCCAGGCCTTCACAGCAAGTGCTAGATTTACAGAGAGGATCACTGTTAGGTGGTTGGTATTGGCTTACAGTGTGGTGGACAGAAGGTCACAGTTCAGTTCCATGGGATGAGAAAGAAGTACGCCTGTGTGCTCTGACAGCACACTGATACCAATTTGTTGGCAGTGGTGGGGCACAGGTGGGTGGGGAGCCGGCACTTCCTCAGCTGAACTGAGTCTAGTGTGAAAGGATCAGTGGGAATTGGTCTGGCAGAGGTAAAAGGGTACAAAGAGAGAGGAAAGGCATTCCAAGATAAAGGAACAGTTTGTACAAAAGTGAATATTTGCAATCAGTGTGATCAAATGTATAGAGTACAAGATGGTGAGAAATGAGAGAGAGAAGTAGGGGTGAGGTATAAAGAGGCTACAGGGGTTGGACTTTATTCTCAAGGCTGTGAAAAGACTAAAGAACTTGAAGCAAAGGAATGGAGATTAGTTGTGTATATATTGGAACAGGAGTTGGCAAACTAGAGCTCACAAGCCACTAGCCCACGGCATATTTTGGAAGAGCCTCCAAGCTAAGAATGGTTTCTACATTTTTAAAGGGTTTAAAAAAGAAGAATACAGAACCAAAGCTATATGTGGCTTGCAAAGCCTAAAATATTTACTCTCTGGCCCTTGACAGAAAAAGTTTGCCAACTTCTGTTTGGGAAAGATGGTTCAGGACATGATGAGAACAACAAATCAAATGGGACAGACAGCCTTTGGGAGGTCTTGAGCCAGAACCAAGGCAGTGACAGTGGGAATATATTTTTAAAATAGCAAGATGGTCCAACTGATGGAACTTGGTGATACATTGGAAATGGAGAGAAAGAGAAGTTTCTATCTTGGGATGATGGCAGCATTCACTAGATAAGAAAATAGGGTCAGAAATAGACTTGCTAGGGGAAGGAGATGAGGGGTTGTCTTAAGGGTAATGCTTTTGATGCCCACTCTAGGATGGTTATTCAGAGGACAAGCCAACGCACATCATCTTTGGTTCCAACAGTGAAAGTGAAACAGAGGAGACATCCACTCAGGAGCAAAACCATCCAGGAGAGGAACCAGTAAAAGTAAGACATCTAGGGTGGGCATTCCTATACTTTTGCAGATCCATTTCTGCATGTTGCATACCAAGACTTGCACACAACTGCTGGGCTCAACATAAAATCCTCTGGGAGCCACAGTGAAACCCAGGGCTCCCCTGACCATCACGCATGGATACCACAGGGGCCTTAGAGATTTTCTCCCACATAAATCTATCCTCTACATCATCTGCAAAGTGACATCAATATTAGTGAAACCCTGCAGAAGGTGTTCACACATTTAATAACTTCCCCCATTCCAGGCTGCATTAGGAGCCTCTGGATTTAGTGACCCAAGGGGCCAAGTAGATATCACTGAGTCAGAAGTTTCCATTCTAACCACCAGCCAGTCTTTCCTGGGAGATGCATCTGGGTTGTTGTTCCATACATGTGAGGAGGAAGATTACATAATGAAGGAAATACTGTCTTTGGTTATTAATAAACATTTCTGTCTTTACCTATGTAACAGGAGTCCATGGGTGGAGCCTCTGGGAAGCTCTTTGACAGCAGCGATGATGAGGAATCTGGTTCCGAAGATGACAGTAACAGGTTCAGAATTAAACCTCAGTTTGAGGGCAGAGCTGGACAGAAGGTCAGTGAAGACTGAAAATAATAAAACTTGCAACATGTCCTTATTTTTCGACATAGTCCTTAAATCTAGGTTAGTGCAGGCAGACCTTGACCCACACTCCAGTGTTAAGGTGTTTATTTTGATAGTGAGTCCTCCATGACCCTCTCTGATTGGTTCATGGGTAGGTGAGGTTATGCAAACATTAATGTAGTGAATTTCATGGCATGGAGGTATACTTGTGAAGGTCTTGTTTATAAGTAATTTCTTGGGAATATGGCTCTCAGTTGTCTTTGTGTTTTGTCTTATAGCTTATGGATTTGCAGTCTCACTTTGGCACTGATGACAGATTTCGCATGGACTCCCGATTTCTAGAAAGTGATAGTGAAGAGGAACAGGAAGGTAAATGCCTTATTGTCCAAACAAACAGTCCTGATGTCAGAGCTGGGGGACCTTGAGAAGTCATGTAGTCTAGCTTCTTCACTTAACACATAGAGAAACTCTGTACCCCAAGACACTGAATTGTGGAGCTTGTAATCCAATAGTTAGCTTACTCAATACTTGAGTTTGTTTGTACATATTAATTTATTTATATAATTTTAATTACCTGAAGCTGCCAGAAAAGACAAGAATAGTTAGCATCCACCAAAGATGCCATCTTCCATCATCCTGTCCCTGGCATTAGAGAGAAGACAAGGACCCTACCTGGCAGTATATCAGGTCCTGGTGAGGCTGTGGAAGACAGTTACATCACGCTTGGCTTACTTAAAGGAAGTGTTTATCTTCCAGCGTGCGTGATGGGTGCAGGTTTTTAAAAACAATGTACCATTGAATGTCACTCTACGTAGATTCATCCCATGTGAATATATCTAACAGCAGTGACGCTACCAGAAGCATCCTGATTCTGCTCTTACTTCCTATACCATTTTCTACACCAGTGGTGCCAAACTTTCTCTACAAGATCTTCTACCCTTATCCTTTGCAAAAGACCTTACTCCTACCTCCTACCATCCTCACTTGAGGATGGCCACCTCAAGTGAGCTCCCTGCTTTCCTTTCCAATCTCAGAACTACTCTCTCCTTACTTTTTTCCTCTTCATGAGTTAATCTAATCTGCATCTTAATCTTCCTCATTCATTCCTCCTGTTAACCTCCTTTCTTATGTGCATCTTCATACTTTCCCTTTCTTCTCTCTCTTCCCTCTTTCTACAGACATAGGTCTCATAGGTTCAAAAAGCCATTTCTTCAGCCCTGCCAGTTTTCAAGTTGCCACTCCCATCTTTTTTCAGTTCCAAACCTGAAATGAAAAAATAAATTGCACTAATTTAGAAGCAGTTGGCTTTTTATTGAAAATACAGCCTCTGGAAATGATGCTCTTGATTCTTTGAGGTGATTATTGTGTGTATTGTACATTTCTGAAAACAAGTGTTCAGAGAGTAAGTTCTCCAGGATCCACAGCAAATTATGTTTCAGAGCTTCTCACTCAAAATTCCATGTTGAAAACAGGAATGGACAGAACCTTGGGAATAGCCTAGAAGCTATACATAGAGTTTACTTTCTAACTTCTGCCACTTTTGTCTGTCTCTTTACAACTCTTTTAGTATGCATTCCCTGCACATACTAACTGGTTCACCAGATGCAGTGGCACCTTCCCAAGCTTCTTCAGCCTGCCTGTACCATTTGTCACTGTTCATCATCCTTCTTGAACTGTTCTCTTCCCTTTGCTTCCATTGCACTATAACTTCCTTATTTTCTTCTTAATTCTTGGTTCCTAATTTTCCCTTTGCCTTTAGATATGTAAACGTTCTGTAAGTCCCTGTGGCTTTAACCTTCTTTTGTGCGTGAATATTTTCCAAATCTGGGTCATCTTTGCTCCTGACTATTCTGCTGAGCTCCCAATTATTCTTTTCTCAATGCCTGATGGATATTTCTCACAGGCGTCCCTGAACGCGTGTTAAAACGCAGCAAATCCCAAACTGAATTTACTCTCTCTCAGGTGCTCTGAACCCTTCTGTTTCTGTTGATGGTACTTCCATTCTTAGGGCAGTCAGACATAGAATCTCTGTCTTTTGTTTCTTTCCTTCCCAACTTTTGAGACTGAATTTTTTGTGAGTTGCACAAAGACTGTCCTGCAGGTAAGCAGCCTACAAATACCTTGCAGCCAGTCTACAAATATCTTGAGCCCTTTCTAGCATTGTGTTTTATTTCCTAATGGTCAATAATAGGGTAAAATTGAAAGTACCATTTTTTGAAGTCAAAAATTGTTGAATATTAGCAGTTTCATATGGTTTAACCTAATGCAATGTAAACTCTTTGAACTTTCTTCTTTCAATGTATGTGTTCATTTTTTCACTTGCCTGGCATGCACTCCTCCCTCCTCAGGGGATCTACTTGTCTTTCCTACCTTAGACTCCACCTGGTTTATAAAACATTTCTTAATCCAATTGAACATAATCTTTACCTCTTTTGAACCCTTAGACACTTTTGGGTCATCTCTATAGAGAACTATTCAAATCAGCATTTCATTCTGTTTATTTCTGTTACTTGGTTGTTTATATCCTGCAGTAATTTGAAAAGGTCTTTAAGGCTTACTTAGACTTCTTTTGTATTTCTATCTATAATCCAAACTAGCTGTTAAATGTTTAACTTTGTTCTCTGATATTTGTCTGTTTCTAGTAGCTAAGGATAACAAGCTTCTAGGCTTCCACAGTGCCCTGTGTGTAGGCTTTCTTCCTGCAATATTTAGTACTGAATCTAAAGGCTAAAGTATCTGTCTACTAACATCGTATTAATAGTAAAATTAGCATCTTTCACTATCTTTCATTTTTAGATTTACATGTAATTTAGATTAATTTTTAGAAAGTTAAAAAATCAAAGAATCTCTAATCACTTTAGTTTTATAATTAGTATCTTGCTCTATTACATTTGTCAATCTTTACCTTAAAAACTTTTAGACTTGCCACTGAAAGCCATTAAATTCAGATTTCATTTTTATAATTACAAACAGAAATGGGAATTTTGTTTGTTGGTCATGCAGTTTCTAGATTCACTATGACATTGGGGATCTTGGGGATAGGGAGGTTAGCAAAACAAGGTTTAACTTTTCTTCTTCCTATCTTAATGTGCTTTGCACATGTTTACGTGCTTGATAAATATTTGATTATTGAGACTTCTCAGGTTATGTTTGCCAAGAGATTACTAATTATCCTCTTCCCTCTAAGAAATAAATGAAAAGAAAACTGCTGAGGAAGAAGAGCTTGCTGCAGAAAAGTTGAAAGCCCTGAATGTTGTGCAGAGTGTTTTGCACATTAACTTAAGCAGTTCTACAAGCAAAGGATCAGTAGCTGCTAAGAAATTTAAGTATGGTTTATGTTTCATCCCATTCTGCCCTCTTTTCCTTTGCCATAAAATGAGGCCATTTTAAACTTCCTGGGGAGAGCAGTTAGCAACATGTATCAGACCCTTAAAATTGTACTTACCTTGACCTAGTGATTCACTTCAAGAAACCAATCTTAAATTATTTCTGTATTTATTATTAGTAAAAAAAAAATTGGACAACTGTTTAAATATTAATAAATGTAACTGTTTACTATGGAAAATTTCCAGCATATAACTGAGAGAGACTAGTGTAATGAAACCCCTGTGTACCATCACCCAGCTTCTACAATCACCAATATGTGACCAGTTTCCTCTTTGATACCTTTACTCACTTCCCCCTACTTTCCTCACTGAAATATTTTATGCAAAATCCCAATAGCATATCATTTTATCCATATATATTTTAGTATGTTTAAAATAATATTAAACATTTTTAAAGATCCAGGACAAGTCAAAACTAGATAATTTAAAATATGATTGCTTCTAAGGAGCTCCTAATACATTTCTTTGATATTATGTGCCTTTTTCTTGCTCAAAAAGTGGAATCGCCCTGGTATTGCATTATAATTTGCTATTAGTTTTTTGCATTAATGTTCTGAATTGTCTCTTCCAACTTATCACTCTCCTTTCTTTAATAGGGACATCATACGTTATGATCCAACAAGGCATGACCATACCACTTATGAAAGAAAAAGAGATGATAAACCAAAAGAAAGGTATATTAAGCTACTACTTTTAGTAGCAGGTTCATATGAATTAATCTCATTTCAGACAGTGAGAAAAGTAGATAGTAACCAATATCACATCCATTGGTCCCCATTGTATTTAGTTTAAGAACAGGGAAGGGGGAAAGAGAGGAATTATTGATGTGGTGGAGAGAGTCTTACTTTTGACAAAGGAATCTTCATGCATAGAAATGATTATATGTGCCTCTTCTCTAGTAGGTGTCTTCTACTTATATTAGTTTCCTGTGGCTTCTGTAACAGATGGGTGACTTAAAAACACAAAAATTTTTCTCACAGTTCTGGAGGCTAGGAGTCTGAAATCCAGATTATTGGAAGAGCTGTGGTCCCTCTGGAGATTCAGGGGGAAAAAACTCCATTTCATGCCTCTCTCTTAGCTTCAGGTGACTGCCAGCAATCTGTGGTATTCCTTGGCTTGTGACTATATTATTCCAGTCTCTGCCTCCATCTTCACGTGGCCTTCTCATTTCTATTTGTCTCTCATTTGTGTCTGTTATAAGGACACTTGTGATTCCATTTAGAGTCTGCCTGGATAATCTCTTCATTACAAAATCCCTAACTTTATTACAAAGACCTTTTTTTCAAAATAAGGAAATATTCACACGTTCCAGGAATTAGGGCCCGGACATATCTTTCTGGAGGCAACCATTCTATCCACTGCACTACTCTAGTGTGGTAGGAGCGTCTATTTCTTATAGATATGCTGTGGCAAATATTTTTTTGATAAATATGGCAAATATATGGAGCAACCAGTAACTTTGCCTGATTTAATTTCTTGATTTCCTGCTATTTAAAATCACTAAAGTCACTGTGGTATCCTGAATTAGATCCTGGGACAAAAAAGGCACTTGTAGAGAAACTGGTGAATTAGGAACAGAGTCTGTATTTAGTTAACAGTAGTGTACCAGTGTTAATCTTTTAGTTTTGACAATTGTATCATATCTATGTAAGATGCTACCTTGAGGGGAAACTAGGTGAAGGTTATTTGGGAACACTGTTTCCAGTTTTTCTATAAATCTAAAATTATTCCAAAATTAAAGGTTTCTTTTAAAAAGAATCGCATACCAGACCAAAGTAGAACTAACATAAACATTCCCTGCAATGTAGGATTCCACATTGCAATGTGATTCTGGGTAGTCTCTGGAGAGCTTGCAGTCAAAATGTTGCTTGGGGCTTCAGTCTCCGAAGGCCTGACTAAGCCTCACGATGTACTTCCAAGATATCTTACTCACATAGCTGTTAGCCAGTTCCTCACCTTGTTGGCTTCTCCATTAGGCTGCTTAAGTGTTCTCATAACACTGACCCAAAAGAGAGATAGAAGGAGGAAGCCACAGTATATTTTATAACATAGTCTTAGAAGTCACACAGTGACACATCTGCCTTATTCAATTTTCTTGAAATAAGTCACTAAATCCAACCCATACTTTTATAGGGGAAGGGGAGATTAAGCATTCCTTCCTGAAGAGAGAGGCACTGAGGAATTTGTGGACATATTTTAAACTACCACAACCTGTCCTCTGGTCGAAAATTGTTTTCTATTCCTACCATATGCAGAACGTGCTCAACTCTGCTCTAGACTCCCCAGAAGTCTCACCTTTTTATAGTGTCAGTTCAAAATCTAGGACGTTGGGCTTCCCTAGTGGCGCAGTGGTTGAGAGTCTGCCTGCCGATGCAGAGGACACGGGTTCATGCCCCGGTCCCGGAAGATCCCACATGCCGCGGAGTTGCTAGGCCCGTGAGCCATGGCTGCTGGGCCTGCGTGTCCGGAGCCTGTGCTCTGCAACAGGAGAGGCCACGACAGTGAGAGGCCCGCGTACTGCAAAAAAAAAAAAAAAAGTTTCTCTCTGTAAGATAGTCACCACCAATAAGATGATCATTTAGGACATTATTATTTTAGGTAATATAGTTAGAATATTTGGCCTCGTAAATAGAGTAGACTCTAATAGAAAAGAGGATTTTAATCTTTTACTAGCTGAAAACTCAATATTGGAGACTGCCATGTAACTCTGGTTTAAGATCAAAGAGAAAAACGTATTCCTAAATATAGAGCAGGTTGATGGTAATAGAAAAATTTCATTCCCAAACAGACTAGATTTAGCACATTTATAAGGAGTTTCTAAAACAGAATTATGACTAAATCCTTTAATGCCAGTGTCATAAAACTCATAGAATTTTAGAATTTGAAAAAGTCTTATAAGTCATGCGGTTTAACATGGTTCATTTTACAAATGAGGATACTGAAGCCCATTGCAGTTAAGTGATTTTCTTACTCATAGCTAATATCTTAGATGTGACTTCTGAAATGTAGTTCAGAGGATAAGAGATAGGAGAATATGATTCTTGTTTAATACTTGGAGCTGTTTGAAATAGTTTTGTCTATAAAAATTCTTTTGGTTAAGGTTCTGCCTTTATGAGTTTTATATGTCGATCCTCTTTGTTGTTGAAAGGATGGGACTAAGGTTATCCAAGGTGTTTATCTTTCCTGATTTCTGGAAATTTTCCAAAAATTGACTTTTTTTGTGATGCACATATCTCTATATATGTCAATGCAGTAAAGCAAAACGAAAGAAGAAAAGGGAGGAAGCTGAGAAGCTACCTGAGGTATCTAAAGAAATGTATTATAACATTGCTACGGATTTAAAACAAATATTCCAAACTACACAAGATACCATTGAAAAGGAAGACAACACACCTTGGAATGAGGATTCTGATGGAGAGAAAGCCGAAGTAGTCCAGGACCCTACAGCTCTGATGACTGGGGATGAACAGCCCGGCGGGTTCACATTCTCCTTTTTTGATTCACACACTAAAAATGTAAAGGAAGGTACTTTTTTTTTTTTTACACGTTTTCATTTAAAGCGGTTTGAACTTAATTGATTGAATTTACTGTAACTGTAATGATTTAACATTAGCTGAAGAAAGGATTCTTTCTTCCATCTATGTAAACAGTATTACAGTATTGCAGTCAGCATTACATGACCATAAATGTACTGTGCATAGAGCTGTGTTTAACACACTAAGAAATTGTTCTTGCATTTGGAAGCAAACTTCTAGATAGCTGCCATATGAAGGGAAGCCAGAGAATAATGTGCAGCATCCCTTCTAATGTTGAGTAGAAATAGTCATGAAGAAGTATAAGAAGTCATATATTTAAATAGCTTTGTGTCTTAGATGCAGTTGGAGAAGCCATGACTTCAGGAAAACCAGTGCTATATGGTGGGGAAAGGGAAGAAATAGGTAACCCTGGCTCTATACAATTATGCTATGTCATCAGTACACCAGTTGTTTCAAACTTTATCCTTGGAGATTTGCCATAACCTAGAGAAAAGTATCAGCACCAGTATAAACAATTTGGCATTCCATTTCAGGAGGTTTATCTCTGAAGTCCTACATAGTCTAAAAGTTAAAAACACCTATTCCTTAGGAAGTTGCTCCTCACCTAATGTTTAAGATGAAGTGTAGCTTTTCTGGAAGTTCATTGTAAAAAGCAAGATATACCTATACAGGAGAATACATGCACAGCTAACAATAAGCTCTACTTTGAAGATCAGCAGTTAAAGTAGTATCCATGTGTTTATCAGATGAGTATTAAATGCCAGCTTTGTAATGCTCCAAAAGGTGGTATAGCAATCTAGTAGTTTTTCCAAAATTGTTCTAAATAAGACACAATATATTATTGCTCTGCTTACTTCATTCTCTTGCCTGTGTTGTCCATTTGAGTACCAAGGTCAGTCCTAAACTGTTGAACAGAGTTGATATGATATAGATACTGTCTTTAATTCTTCTAACTTTGAGGGCCAAGTGTGAGAAATTGGCCTTGAAATGAGTACTAAGACACCTCAGCAACCTGGGAGATGTGTTTTGTGTACTTAGGAAATTATGAGGACTTGTGAGGAGATCACCCACATCTTATAGCAGAAGCTTTTTCAGAAGTTTTAGAAAGAGGCTTTGGGAATTGAAAATATAAAGATATGTTCCTTTTCTCATTTATGAATAAGCAGGAAGGCAACCTGGTTTCACGGCATCATGTTACAGTTTAGGCTTCTCATGCTAGCACAGGTGCCATGCTCTTTTTTTTTTTTCCCTTTTAAATTGCGTTGCTCATTTATAAACCTTTAGTTTGTATATCTTTTTATAGTGTTACTATATTCCTTATCAGATCACCCTAGCAATGCCCAAAAATATGATAATAGCTTCTCTCAATATTTGAAAATCTAAAAAGGTACTACATATTTTGAATTAATGATTAAGATATTTGAAATTTAGAAATATGAGTGCATGGTGAAAGTAAACAAATTAGGTGTGTCCACAAATAATCGGTCGTTAGGTTACAATTCTGTCGTCTTTCATTGTCATGATGATATAGAGACCTATAGAGATGAGGCAGTGAAACCTGGGAAGATTGCCTGGCAGGGAGACCCTCGTTTCCAAGACAGCAGTTCAGAAGAGGAAGATGTTACTGAAGAAACAGATGACAAAAAGCCCAGCCCTGGGTAAGTAATGTGTTTCTGTCCAGGTCTATTTCATAATTCGTAAAATCTGAGTTAGACATGCTTTAGAAATGTTATAGAAGTATTTAAGCTTAGCTTCTCAAGACAATTTTCTTTTTTTGGCTCCTTTAGAGAGTTCTGTAGCCTTTTTGTAATTGGGAGCATGTTTCCTTTTCCTTGAAATTTGGATAGACTGGGTGGGGGATATGACGTGCATGGGGAAGAAAACTTGTCACTGAAGTCCTTGATCTGGAAAGAGTATACTTCAGCTCATTGGCTGCTACCCCATGGGAAACACTGGCAAATTGGGTAGCAATGCTGGGGTGAGAATGTCAACAATCAACACAGGGAAGATAGAGCGTGTACTTAAGTAAGTCTTCGTTACCAAAGTTTCAGGTAGAAGAGAAGAATGTTGAATAGAGAAAGGGTGGTATCACTTTAACTCAGGAAAGAAAAATGAGCAAAACACAAAGCACATATATTTAAGGAATAGTTCATTTATACTTACAGTGTAAACATTTCTTAAATATTGAAACTGAGTGGCCAATTCTCTCTCTCTTTCTCTCTCACTTCAGAGAAGTATCATTACCTGAGAAAGAGACCACTAGATATTTCTTTTTCTCTAAGAATGATGAGAGACTTCATGGTAAGTCAATGTTTTGATTAAATGGTATAGAACAGGTAATAGTACAGCTCTCACCATAGCGCATTCTGATATACTAACATGCATCCAAGTAAGAACTGATTGGGAAAAATTCTGATCCTTTGCAATGTCATGTGCTTTAGCCCCCTCTGTTAGACAGATGCATGTTGACTTGCAAAGCTCTGGAAAACTGAAAGCTCCCACTTGCCACCTCCCTCACTTGTTCACTAACCTCAACTAGGGCTTGTTTTGTTCCAGGGGTTTGCTGAGATACTAGATGTACAAAACTCCTAAGTCTTTAGTACCCTAAAAAGTTCACATGAACTATCTCAATATCTTGTAATAACCTATAATGGAAAAGAATCTGAAAAAGAATATATATATATAACTGAATCACTTTGCTGTACACTTGAAACTAACACAACATTGTGAATTAACTATACTTCAGTAAAAAAAATAGAAAAAATAAGTTCACATGAAAACTCTGAGGCTGTTGATGAACTCATTTCTTTTTTTTTTTTTAATATATTTTATTTATTTATTTTTGGCTGCATTGGGTCTTTGTTGCTGTGTGCGGGCTTTCTCTAGTTGCGGCGAGCGGGGGCTACTCTTCGTTGCGGTGCGCAGGCCTCTCATTGCAGTGGCTTCTCTTGTTGCAGAGCACTGGCTCTAGGTGCACAGGCTTCAGTAGTTGTAGCATGTGGGCTCAGTAGTTGTGGCTCACGGGCTTTAGAGCACAGGCTTAGTAGTTGTGGTGCACAGGCTTAGTTTTTCCTTGGCATGTGGGATCTTCCCGGACCAGGGCTCGAACCTGTGTCCACTGCATTGGCAGGCAGATTCTTAACCACTGCGCCACCAGGGAAGGCCCAATGAACTCATTTCTTAAGCCTAACACAAACAGAAGCCAAGTTACATAATAGTAAATGGTTTATAAACAGTAAAATCCTAGCAGTTCTACATTTTCATTTTGTAAAGAAAACAAGATATTTTTGAAAATTAGCATAAATTGGCTGGGGGCGGGGGGTGAGAAATGGTCTTAACTAGAATTGAAGACCTTGATAATGCCAGCACTAGAATATTGTCTGTTTTAATATTAATGGGCTGTCTTGTCCTTCTTTATTTTCCCCTTTTAGGTTCTGACTTATTCTGGAGAGGAGTGGGAAGTAATATTAGCAGGAAATCTTGGGAGGCCAGAACAAACAGCTTGCGTATGGTGAGTAGTTGTATTTTCATATTAATTGTCTCCATATTAATTAAAAAGATATGGTGTTATCTTTGTGTTAATATTTGCCTGGTGTAAGAATGTAGGAGGGCATGAAACTTAAGGTAACTGAGAACATGACTTAAATGCTCAGAATGATAGTGCTGGAAGAGAAGTTTTAAGTTGTTTAATTCATTCAACCCATGGTGCAGTAAGGAGACAGAAGAGTGGCCCCATTGAGTGACTGGAACGAGTTCTGGCCATGCTTATTAAGGAGCAGGAAATCATAAGACTTTTGAAAGACTGAATTACAGTTTCCATTGTAAACACTTAAAGCCAAAAGTTTGAATATCCCCTGTACGTTCCAAGTGAGCACTTCCAAAATGGCTTCTACAACCCTGACACTGAATAACGTAAATTTTACTTTATAGTTACTAAACGCCTTGGAAAGTATTTACTGCTATTTTTAACAAAGGCTTTTGGTTTTATGTTTTTCTAGGACTGTCGGAAGAAACATAAAGATGCCAAAAGGAGAATGAAACCAAAATAATAAATGTCATCATTAGTTTTGATACTGAAATGTAAACAAGGCTCACCTGTGGAAATTGGAGTGATCTAGAAAATAAGTTTAGCTGACAAAGAAGAATTCAGAGTGAAGGAATATTCAAAATCTTATCTGGTGGATATCATTCTGGTTGCTTTCTTTTCCTGTAGATTTCCTCTTCATTTGTTCCTAACTAATTACTTCAAATAATTAACCTGAACATTTTTTTTAATGAAGCACAAGATAGTCCCTCAAAATACTTTTCGTATATAATCTCTTTGCCCTCTATCTTCAATAACTAATGGCTATCTTCTGACACAAGGTTTACATAAAACCTTTTAAAATATATGGATCAGAGCACTTGTATTTTCCAAGTTACATTTCGTGTGAATTATACTTGAAATATTTCTGATTGTATCAATACACCTTACCTCCATCTTGTGGTTTTTGTTTAAGATGTTGAAAACAAATCAGCCTTGAGTTCTGTACTTGTGTCCTGATGAATAAGCTAACTGAAATGCAGGATATTTCAGACCAGCATCATGGGAGAGTTCTGTGGGGACCAGAAAAGGATGCCAAATGCAGACTTTTCCTGTCCTTGGCCTCCATGAATTGAGGCCAAAATTCTAAATCTCAAAATTCTAATTAGACTACAGGCTTTTGAAAAATCCAAGTGTCTGAAAGATATGTAGTCACAGTTAGGAGTCAGGACCCTGGGTCCAGAGAGGGAAGCAGACTTAATACCTCATTAAATCAATGTGGCTAGGATTCAAGACATAAGCCTCTATCAAATTGGGCTCTGTACAAAATTATGCTATATATATAAAGTCCCAGGGGATTATCATTGAGCCATACTGTGTATATCTGAAATTAAGTATTTATTGATTTACACCTTGATCAAATATAAACTCTTTGAGGGCTGGGATATCACCTGGTTTGTTAACGGTTACGTCCGCACTGCCTAGAACTATGTCTAGCACTAAGTGGGTGCTTAGTAAACAGGGTCCAAGGAACTAAGTAGCTGAAAAGTCATTCGAGATTCCTGTGTTTCCAAGACTTCAGACTTTGTGTAAAACGGAAACCACCACTCAGGAGGATAAATAATCCAAATATTCCACCTTCTCTTGATGTTGATTATATTTATACCTTCTTATCTATTGCTGCATAGCAAGCCATCCCATTAACAGTTGTTCATTTTCCTCACAAATAAGCAACTTGCTCAGGACTCACTGAGGACTGCTCATCTCTACTCCATGTAATATCATGGGAGTGGCCCAGCTGGGGCTAAAGGATCTATTTCTAAAATGGACTGCTCACTCAGTGCCTGTCCATTGGTTTCCTCACAGCATGGCAAGTAGGTTTCAGGAGTAGGAAGCAGATGCCGCCAGTCTCTTAAGGCCTAGTCCAGAAATTGGCTCAGTTATTTCCACTGTATTCTACGGGTTAAAACACACTGAGCCCACCCAGACTCAAAATGAGGGGACATAGATCCTCACCTCTCAGTGAGAGGTGTCCAGAATTTTTGGCCATGTTTAAATTTGTTACACCCACCTTCTCCAGAGCAGACAAGTAACATCAAGTAGCCTTCTGCATCCCCAGTTTCTGCTCCCCAGATACAACCACATTCAAAAACTTTGTTTCCTCTGATATTTATCACCGAATTTCTACCTAACATGCTTATGCTGTGATTTCTTGGTTTTTCAGTTTTAGACATTAAATTTAGACATCAGACATTTTAAAATACTGGGCTGGCCAAAAAGTTCGTTTGGGTTTTTCCATACTGTCTTATGGAAGACTCAGATGAACTTTTTGGCCAACCCAATAATTAGACCTATCATCTGCACCTTTTTTTCCCCTGTACACATCTGTCTGGAAGCCCTCTGTCCTGCTCTAATCTGGGCTGTCTGGACAGATTATAAAAGTGAACTGAACAGGTGGCAACTTGAAGAATGTGAAAATTAAAACACATTCCAAATACTTATAGTTAATAAGGTAAAGACACTACTAAATATATGTGTTCAAGTAAGTCAAGTTATTGGAGAGTCACCCCTTTGGGCAAGGACATAAAATCCCCTACTCTAATCCCTTTAGGGTGCTCCTAAACCATGTATGACTTGAATGAATGCTACACAGACTATTAAAGTGTTCTTAAACATATCAAGGAATGCCTTATACATATTCTCAGATCAGTTTTTTTCTGTCCTTTTATTGGATACACTAAGCAGTTACATACAGAACTAGTCTCAATCTGTCAAGGGCTAAAATTTCCATCGTGGTCTCTGGTGAGGTCTACTGTCCTTTGCATGGCTCTGGATTCCTTGGTTTTTAACCAGCAGATCCAAAAGGTGCTGGGCAGACTCACAGCAGTGATAATAAATACATAAGTAAGCAGACTAATATGCAAGTAATTTTGTTTTCAATACAGGAAACACTCAATAATTCTAAAGCTGGTTGTCAGGCATTTCCTTCCTTTTTGTTATATCTCTCCATATGGCTGTTACCATCAATTCTGCAGTAAAATTTATGAGACCGCTGCAGGTGGCACTGAAGGACACAAAAGGAGAGGCTTCTCTGAACACCACTGACCACCAGTGCTTCAGCTCCTCGCAGACCATGTTGTGGCCTCTGCATTTCCCCGAGAAACAGGAGGGTCTCTTCAGATAGGTGGGTCAAGAGTTTTAGTATACAACAGAATTATCCAGGATGTGTGTTAAAATGCGTATTTTTGTGACCCACCTCCAGAGACTCAGCAGGCCTAGTCTATGCCCCAGGACTGCATTTTTGCAGACTCCAAGGTGGTTTGGTGCAGGTCTCCACTACACCAGAAAACATAGTCCTAGTGCCTAGGGCTGCTTTCCTTAACGGTCATCTAGTAAAGCAGCCTTGAGACTGCGCACTCATGGCCCCGCAGTATAATTACTGAGGCTACTATCGTTGGACTTGGTTAACCCCTGGTGAAATGCATTTGTCTTGTGTACAGTGAAGTGAACACCGACAAAGGCTGTGTAACAACGCCCAGTCAGGACGCACAACAGCCTCCTCTCTGTGCCCCTCCCAGTCAGTCCCCACCCCGGAGGCCACAAAATAGTCGTGTCCACCACCGTCGCCCTAGCTGCGTGAAGGATGCACCGCGTCGCCGCCACACCACCGAGTCGCACAGCCTGCCAGACCACAGAGCAACGCCTGGTCGGGTGGTCGTGACTTGAAACGCACACGGCCAATCGGCGTCCGGCTTGTTTAAGGGTGTCAAACGACGGGCGCTGATTGGCCGGTACAAACCAGGCCACTTCCTCTTAGCCTCACGCTTTCGGGACGTTGCATCACCTCTAGTCTCTTGACCAAGGCGTAGACGCGGCTCTTTCCGAGGTACTTAGGCTCGGAGGCCCCTCAGGTACGCCTGGTACTGCTCGCGGAGGCCCCTCAGGTACTCCCCATCCTGCCCGCGGGGCCCCTCAGGTCAACCTGTCCTGCCCACGGGCCCCTCAGGTACGCCCCTTACTGCCCACTGGGATCCACAGTCCCTCTGGTACACAAGATTTTTTTTTTTTTTTAATGTTTGTTTTGGGCTATGGGTTAGTTACGTGCATATCCGTTTCCAAGGAAAACATTGGGAGGAGGTCTAAGTGGGGCGAAAGAACTCAGAACCAGGTACCAATCCTGGCTTAGCTCTCGGGCCGAGGATTACAACCCTTGGAAGTTCCTCAGCTTCAGCCTGGTATCCTGGTAACACTTGAACTGTTGGGTGGTTCTGAGAATTTGGTGTGATCGAGCTTACTGGAGTTCAGAAGGTGGACGAAATTACTTGGAAGTCTAGGTATTCATAAGAACAAATCAAGTCTTAGGCTCCCACGAATGGGCATTTATTGCTGGGTGCCTGGGATTAGAGGGAAGTCCCCGTCCTCGGCTCTTACACAGTCTAATAATACAGTATTCCAAGTGCACAGAGGAGGAAGACAGTTCCTAAGTGGGATTTCGAAGTGGGAGAAGGAGAAGGCTTCTCAGGAACTGCAGTGGGTTTGGAGCCTTGAAGATAAGTAGGAACTTGGGGATATGGTGCAGGGGACTGTCGTATAATGTATAGCAGGATTTTAAAGTGTGTGTGATTCAGGAGATGGGGAGTTGTTGTAGTCACTGCAGTTTCTTGTGAGGAACAAGTGGAAGATGATGCTTGGCTTCCAGCCTTATTGAATTTGTGGTTTCCTTCTTGAGTGAAGTGGTGTTTGAAATGAATCCAGAAGAGAAGATAAGTTTTTTATTAGGTTTGACAGTATTACTTCTAGCATTCATTCAGGTGTTGCAGAGAGGTCAGGAAGTGTGAAACTAGAGGCAAAGCAATTGTTTTAGGGATTTCTAAGTAATACGATGAACTTTTACAAAGTAAATATCTGTAAAATGGTGGACAGTATATCTTCTTCATAAGTGATTAGAGAGTGAATTATAGGGAAGAGAAGGCAGCTAAATGCAGATTGCACTCTTAAATGCTTTTGGAAAGATGATATAGTGACTGGGCAAAGGCAATAGAGTAGAATTTGTGGACAAAGGAGTAATGATAATAATTTCCATAGATGACATGTGATTGCTCAGATAGCCATTATTTCACTTAACGTTAAATTAGCATTGTATTTACAAACTTTATTTTACAGGTGGCAGAATTGAGGTTTAAAGGTTGAGTAACTTTTCCTATAAGTCACATACTAAGTTGTGGCACCAAAACTGTCAAATTCCAAAGCCAACCCTCTTAACCATTATCCTTGCCAAGAGGAGCCCCCGGAGTGGGATATTGGAAAGGCAGGTGGGGGAAATATCACTGATGGAAACTAAGGATGCTGACAAAGGGATTTGTTCAAACTTTCTGAGCACTACCATGTGTAAGCACATGGTAAGATAGTAAGAGGTTAGATAGTAAAATGCTTTTGCCAGCAATAAGTTTACAGTTGAGTTGGAGAGACATGGGCATGCAATACAAATAAACCATAATGTGTAGGAGAGGAGCAGATTCCGGGGACGGGGATATTAGTTTTGTAAAAAGGGGGATTGGTAAATCCCCATAGAGCAGAGTACATTTAAGCTAAGCAGTGCCAGAGTATTTGGAGAAAGGGCCTGAACGCAAAGCAGTATGTCAGCAAAGCAGTTTTGTTTCTCAGCAGTGTCAAGAATATGATGTAGTGGGAGCTTGAGTTTTGTAAGAGTAAAGGCTAGGAGTAGTAATTGTGGGTAAGATCATGCTGCCCCACTGAAAAGTCTGTACAGAAACCATTGGGAGTGAGGAACCATTGCATTTTTCTTTTTTTAATACAGAAGTGATACTTTCAGAACTTTTCTGTTAGGAAGGTGGTGTGTGGGATGTAGAGTATTTATTT